GTCCAGTGAGAAGAAAGGTATGTAATCAAGTAATTCCAACAGAGAATGACAGGCAGAATAGACTTGCAGGCAAGTACAAGGTAGAGTAATCGTAGGATTCTGCTGCAGTTTATTCTTAAAGGTCCCTTCTTCTTTTTTCTTCCCCTCCCCCCCCTTTCTTCTTTCTTCCTTCTTCTTCTTGTTCTTGCTCTTCTCTACTTTCACCTACTTTCGGAAGAAGTCTCCACAATCTACTTACTGGGTATCTTTGGGCAAGTTACTAAACCTCTGTGAGCTTCCTTTCCTCATCTGCAAAATGGAACTAAGAATACTGACTTCCCAGGGTTGCCTTTAGGATGAGATGGGATAACATACATAAATGGAACAGCACAAAGCCTGGTTCTCAGTGGACTTTGACATGGAGTAGATCCCATCCCCTTTGTTTTGTTCTTTTGGCTGGGTTTCATGGGATGGAAAAAACATATATTCTTTTATTTCACTAAAAGGAAAAATTTCAAGGCTGAGTGCAGTGGCTCACGCCTGGAATCCCATCACTTTGGGAGGCCAAGGCGGGCAGATCACCTGAGGCAGGGAGTTCAAGACCAGCCTGACCAACATGAAGAAACCCCATCTCTACAAAAAAATACGAAATTAGCCAGCTATGATGGCGCATGCCTGTAATCCCAGCTACTCAGGAGGCTGAGGCAGGAGAATTGCTTGAATCCAAGAGGTGGAGGTTGCAGTGAGCCAAGACTGCACCACTGCATCCAGCCTGGACAACAAGAGTGAAACTCTGTCTCAAAAAAAAAAAAAAAAAAAAGTAGGAAAATTCCCATGCTCCTCCATAAGCTGCTTTGCACTCACTTCAATTCAGGAACATGCCATCCCTGTAAGTGGTGCCCTTCTCATAAACACAAAGTCAATCTGTCAAATGAAGGGCAAATCTGCCATTAATGCAGAGGCAATACCTTAAGGCCAGCTGCACATCTACCTCATGCTATTATCTAACTAGGCTTGGTGTCATGCTCCTGAGAAAAACTATGCTCACCACATTCAGCAATCAGAAAGTTCACACGGTCAGAGGTGCCTCTGCCTCACACAAGGTGAAGCACAGCTAAAAATTGCTTTTTTAATTAAAATAAGACTTCCTTAACCGCCTGCTGACAATCAGACAGTTAACCAGTCTCCATCCTGCTCTAATGGTAGTTTCAAGCACTCAGAGAAGGGAGGGGGGAAAAATTATCAATTTAAACAAAATGTTTAATCTTCTAATTATGGGACAGGCTCCAAGAGAATGGGAAGTGATTTGCAATCTTCATTATGGAATCCCCACGCAACCACTCGCACAAGTCACGTTAGCCAGAGGCACATGCCATCTTTTTCTCCCACTGAGCCTTCTGTGTCCTTGCAAGTTCTATGGGAATGGAAGAACTCTTCAGTCCAAAAAAAAAAAAAAAAAAAAAAAATGAGGTAGAGGTAGAAGCATACAAATTTCTGTCTCCAAATTTCCAAGTTCATCATGCTGAGTGAGGTATAAGGATCCCCGGTGAGGAGCCAGGGAGATAATATTCAGTGACTTTACACTGGCAGGCTTAGCAGCCTGAGGCCCTTTGAAACTTCACAATCTTATAAAAACTGCCCAGCTCAGGTGGTGCTTAAGTCATTTTTTAAAATTTGCTGAAAAGTCCTGTCATCAGCCCTAAGAGATGCATTGAAAATTAGGGTGATGCCCACCAATGGCACCTCTGGTCGGAAGGAAATCTGCTCCTCTGCAGATAGGCTTGCATCTTTGCTAATTCATGTTATCTCTGGCTGTTCAGATCTCTATGTGCTAACTCAGGAGAAAAAGTCCCTGCCAACCAACTCTGACAAGTTCGATGGCAGAACTCCCACTGGAGATCCAGCAGAGACAGCAAAGCCAGGCAATTATTCCCTTTCATTAGGGACAGTTCTTTTTAAGTTTGGGTGTTTTGTATTTATTAGTATTATTTTGAACACAAAAAGTAGCCATTCACAATCGCTGCTCAATACAGTCACTTACACAACTGACAGAAACTGTCATCTCCCCATAAGCCAACTGAAAGAGATGTGCTGGAAGCAACCAGAAATGGTTGTTGTCCCCTTAATTACCCACTGTAATGTAAAACCAGACATGGAGGGGATGGCCACAGCAGATGTGGGCAAAGCGGCAGCGATATTTAATCATCACTTCAGACCATCTGCAACTGTTTTGCAGAAGCACATCAAGTTTATAGGTTCCAAAGCTTCTCTACAAGTTACCAGGTGCTGAGGGTCAGCTGCATTGTCCTCAGGCCACGAGGGGCTGCTTTCTTCATTCTCTCCAGGCCAGGGCGCTCAACAAAAGGCACCATGCCCACATTTTCTGAGCCAAGCCTGGCACTAGGAGAGAGCTGCTTCTTGATTAAGCCAAAACACAGATTAAATGTTTAGAAGTGGAGATTCTGAAAACAACCTAGGCGGGAAAGCAATTATCGCAGGGACAGCACAGCTTCAGCTGTGGCCCTCTGCAGCACAAGGGTGAATTCCACACCCTTCAACAGCTAAGTTGGCCAGAATGCTCCTCTACAATTCTTCATTCTACAGATGCAGCGATCTTTTAAAACATAAACAAAATTGTGTCACTCCACAGCTTTAAACCTCTAATGGCTTCCTACTGTGCTAGGAATAAAGTTCAAAAATGTTAGGATTCTCCCTCCTCCCTGCAGTTGACCCCTCTGTCCTTATCTCAACTGTCCCCCCTTCACTCACCAAGCTCTGGCTGTACATGACAAGTCTGTTCCCACCTCAGAGTTTTTGTTTTGGCTTTTCCCTTGATCTTCACTGCTAGTCCCACAGCTTGTTATATGTCTGGATCTTTCTCATTGTTTAGTTCACAGCTCAAATGTCACCTCTTAAAGAGGCCTTCTAGAACCTTCCAAATTAAACAGCCACTGCTCCCCCATCACTCTATTACATCAGTCTATTTTTTTTCCTTCACAATCCTATTTGAAATTCTCTTGTTCTTGTTTATCTAGTATGTGTTTGCTTGTTTAGGTACTGTTATTTATTGTCTGTCTTGTGTCCCCAGATCTAAGTTCCATAAAGACAGGGGCTACAACTGTCTTGTTTAGCTCTCTATTCCCAGTGTCTAGTATAATACCTTACATTTAGTAGGCATTTAATAAATATGTGCAGAATGATTAAAGAACGACAGGTTCAATATGGAGCACTAATCCAAATGAAATTCACTAACCCCCCCAAAATTTCGATTGTCTCACAGCCTGACTAGGAGCATATGTATCAATGCCCTAGAAACAATGGTAAACATCATCCTATTTCCTCACCAACCCCTGGTGAATGATGAAGAAACTATGGCAAAGAGAGATAAGACTGAGATGGAGAACTCACAGACTGTCAAAGCTGCAGAACTGGAAAATCTGTAAGCTTCTCGGGCAGGGTTTTGCTCAAACTGTCCTTTCACACAGGAAGATCTGATGGGCCAGATAATGGGCTAGGGCCAAAAGCTGGGTCTTAAAGGTCCAACGAGGGTAGGGTACACCATATGAGGCATACTGTATGTGGCAGCTCCAGTCCCAACCATGCAGTCCTTAATAATGGACTCTGGGTTGGTAGCCAGAGAGCACATGTAAATACCAAGCCTAAAGAAACTGGTGTGTAAGTTGGAGGGATGGGAAAGGAAAGGTAGGATATGATAGAGTCAAGAGTCAGGAACAAGACAAGAAGTGAGCAGAGGCCTAAACTGGTGAACAAGCAGACAGGGTCTCAGGTGACTGATACAGTTAGATTCCATGGGCCTGTGGGTGTGTGTATTTGGATATAAGGCTGGCTAAAAGATACGGGGTTAAGGCAATCAGACAGGTAAATGGCTACTCTCCAGAAAGATAAGCAACCATGAAAGAAAGGGGCACTCCACAGAAGGCCAGGGTAAGCCCCTATTTGTGAACTAGTTTCTCTTAAAAGACTCATGATTAGTGGATGACAGTAATTGCTCAGATGTTCTCTAGTCCCCAAGATGGCAGTGGGGGGCAAACAGATGCTGGAGGAAAAGCTGCATCGAAAATAAACGACAACTCAGGCTAAAACGATTTCTAGTATCTCACAGACTTTGGGTGTCTAGCAGCAGAGCTCTAAAGTTTTGTAGTTCATCCAAAAATGACCAAGAATAGTAATGCTTCATTCATTCAACCACCTCTACTTTTCAAAACCATTAAAAGAATGGGCAAGAAAGGCCTCAGAGGTCAGATATCTTATCAAACAAGCACTAAGGAGTGACAGCTGACACCAAGGAAGAGCATGCAAACTACACAAAGTAGGCGCAAGAACTCAAAATCCCTACTACTCCAGAGTACAGGAGTAGAAGCGTTCCACATTTCAAAAGGTCATCAGAGAATCCAGGCACAACTATCCTGTACTCATACTGATGCTCCTGAGACCCAGTGTGTCCTACTGAGAAATGCAAGAATGTTTATGTTTTAGAAAGATCTCCATACTAAATGATGACAAATACTTGTTTTGCACATGGGAAAGAGGAAGCTTCAACATAAACAAAGCACTGCATTTTATCACCAAGTAGTTGGGGTCCTAAAGTGATTTCTTTCTCTGGGCTCTCTGGTTTACCTGTGTGTACAAAGAGGAAGGTGGAATAGATCATCTCTTAGGATGCAACCTGTTCTAGCACTCTAACACCACATAAAAGCTTCAGTTACCTAGAAAGTCTGCTTCTGAAGAGCACCCCATATTCCCAAGACACCAGAAAAATAAGGGGTTAGTACAATTCAATACAACCTGTGCCACCTTTTTAAAAAAGGAACCTCATTATGGGTTTCTTTCAGCTACAACCCTCAAACAACACTAATGTCTTTTTCTTGTCCTGCTTTATTGCACGTTTCAGCATTCTGTTAGTCCTTTGGCATCTCTACCTTCCCTTGCTCAACAGAGGGACTCCTGGCCAGAGCCCCCGTTTCATGTTTCAGCTTCTCTGTGAATAACCATGTAACCATGAGATGCTTAAAAGTTCCCCTCATCATTAATCCTATTACAGAAGCACTGATGTTGAGAGCAAAAGACAATTTGTTTCTTTTTATGCAAAGATGCAAAGAAAATCACATTCCAACATTATATACCAGCAGAGGACTGATGTGCTGCTAATGTTTAACTATCAAAGATCGCAAAAGAACTTTTAAACTCAAATGCTCTTAACTGGAAAGAGAGGGTTCAAATAAAGAAATGTAATCAACCTTCAATTTTATGTATTAACAGAATGAGCACATGAATAATGCCAAACATGAAGCTAGAATCTGCAATAAAAATAATAATGCCAAAAAAAAACTGTTCACTAATCAATCATGCCTGCTTTCAGAATAAAGTCAGATATATTCAGAGAGAAGCATCATGATACTTTGCCTGGTTTCAACTCCTTCTTAGTTCAGTGCCTCTAGATATTGCTGGGTAGCTAGTTGAAAGGAAGTCCAAAGAGGCAATGTAGATAATCTGCTTACAAGCAGCTGATAATCCAAAATGAGTTAAAAGACAGAAAGGCACTGCAGTAGTCTCACTAGATCCTTCACTGAACTCCAGGATGAAGACAAGCTAATTTCCATTTACCAACCCACAATGGAGCTGGAGTTCTAAAGTTTAGGCTAAAACATTTTCAGATCAGTCACTGCTGGAATTCTATGGAAACTAGTTTTGAACTACAAGCATACCTCATTTTTACCCCCTTTGCAGATACTGTGTGTTTTACAAATTGAAGATTTGTGGAAACCCAGCATCAAGAAAATCCATTAGCTGGGCACGGTAGCTCACACCTGTAATCCCAACACTTTAGGAGGCTGAGGTTGGCAGATTGCTTGGGCCCAAGAGTTCGAGACCAGACTGGACGATATGCCAAAACCCCATCTCTACAAAAAATACAAAAATTAGCTGGGCATGGTGGCACACACCTATAGTCTCAGCTACTCAGGAGGCTGAGGCAGGAGAACTGCTTGAGCCCAGGAGGTCAAGCCTGCAGCAAGTTGTGATCCTGCTGCTGCACTCCAGCCTGGGCAACAGAGCAAGACCCTGTCTCGAAAAGAAAAAAGAAAAGAAGAAAAGAAAAGAGAAAAGAAAAGTCTATCACTGACATTTTTCCAAAATCCTATGTTCACTTCATGTCTGTGTCACATTTTGATAATTACTGCGATGTTTCAAACGTTTTCACTATTACCGTATCTGTTATGATAATCTGTGAGCAGTGACCTTTGATATTACTACTTTGTTTTAAGGCACCACAAACCATGCTCAAGTAAGACGGTAAACCTAATCAATTAAACGTGTGCATTCTGACTGCCTCAACCAGCTTCTCCCCTTTCTCTCTCTCCTCAGGTCTCCCTATTCTCTGAGACACAACAACACTGACATTAAGTAATTAATAACCCCACAATGGCCCTAAGTGTTCAAGTGAAACTAAGAGTCTCACATCTCTCACTTTAGATCAAAAGCTATAAACGATTAAGCTTTAGTGAGGAATGGATGTTGAAAGTTATAATGGGCCAAAAGCAGGGCCTCTTCTACCAGACAGAAAAGTGTGAATGCAAAGAAAAAGCTCTTGAAGGATATTAAAAGTGCTACTTTAGTAAACATATGAACAGTAAAAAAGCTTTATCATTCTAAAAAAGCTAAAGAGCCTTACTGCTTATATGGAGAGTCTTAGTGCTCTGGATAGAAGATCAAACCAGTCACAACATTCTCTTGAGCCAAGCCTAATCCAGTGTAAGACCCTAACTCTCTTCAATTCTATGAAGGCTAAGAGAGGTGAGGAAGCTGCACAAAAAACGTTTGAAGCTAGCAGAGGCTTATTTAAGGCTTAACGAAAGAAGCCACTTCCATAACATGAAAGTGCAAGGTGAACCCAGAAGTGCTGACATAGAAGCTGTAGCAAGTTAATCAGAAGAACTAGCTAAGATCATTGATGAAGGTGGCTACACTAAACAACAGATTTTCAATGTAGACAAAATAGCCTTCTGCTGGAAGAGAGGCCATCTAGGATTTTTCACAGCTAGAGAGTCAATGCCTGGCTTCAAAGCTTCAAAGGACAGGCTGATGCTCTTGTTAGGGGCTAATGCAGCTGGTGACTTTTAAATTGAAGCCAATGCTAATTCACCATTTGGATAGGGCCCTTGGGAATTATGCTAAATCGACCCTGCCCGTGTTCTAGAAATAGAACAAAGCCTAAATGACAGCACATCTGTTTACAGCATTGTTTACTGAATATTTTAAGCCCACTGTTAAGACCTACTGCTCAGAAAAAAAGGGTTTCTTCCAAAATATTACTGCTCATTGCCAATGCATCTGGTCACCCAAGAGCTCTGACAAAGATGTACAAGAAGATTGTTAATTATATGCCTGCAAACACAGCATCCATTCTGCAGCCCATGGATCAAAGAATAATGTCAACTTTCAAGTCTTATTACTTAATATTTAAGAAATGCATTCATAAGCCTATAGCTGCCATGGATAGTGATTCTTCTAATGGATCTGGGCAAAATAAATTGAAAACTTTCTGGAAATGGATTTATCATTCTAGATGCCATCAAAAACATTCATGATTCATGGGAGGAGGACAATACATTAACATTAACAGTTGTTTAGAAGAAGTTGATTCCAATCCTCCTGAACGTCTTTGAGGGGTTCAAGATTTCAGTGGAAGAAGTAAATGCAGACGTGGTGGAAACAGCAAGAAAACTAGAATTAGAAGCAGAGCCTGAAGATGTGACTGAAATGCTGCAATCCCATGATCAGACTTGAATGGATAAGGTGTTGTTTCTCATGGATGAGCAAAGAAAGTGGCTTCTAAAGATAAACTCTACTCCTAGTGAAGATGCTATGGACATTGTTGAAATGACAACAAAGGATTTAGAATATTATATGAACTTAGATAAAAAAGCAGCACGGTTTAAGAGAACTGACTCTAACTCTGAAAGAAGTTCTACTGTGGTTAAAACGCTGTGAAACAGCACAGCTTGCTACAGAGAAATCTTTCATGAAAGGAAGAGTCAACAGAGGGAGCAAACTTCATTGCTGTCTTAAGAAATTGCCAGTCACCCCAACCTTCAGCAACCACCACCCTAATTAGTCAGCAGCCATCAAAACGAGGCAAGACCCTCCATTTACCAGCAAAAAGACCACAACTTGCTGAAGGCTCAGATGATGGTTAGCATTTTTTAACAAAGCATTTTTATATTTTGGTAGATTAAAAAATAAAAAAATAAAAAGAATTTTAAAAAGGCATTTTTAGTTAAAGAATGTACACTGTTTAGATGTAATACTATTGCACACTTATTAGACTGCAGTATAGTGTAAACAGAACTTCAATATGCACTGGGAAACCAAAAAATTCATATAACTTGCTTTACTGGAGTAGTCTAGAACCAAATCCTCAATATCTCCAAGGGATGCTGATATTCAGCTGAAATACTAAAGAGCTAACTGGCTGACCTTGGAGAAGGTAAAAGGAGTATCAGAATTCCTACTACATCTTCTCCTAATTCCAATTTCTTTACAGCTATACAAGACTCAGACCAAACCCAACCATTTCCTTTAGGGTGCTTAGTGGGGGGAAAAAAAGACAAAGGAAGGAGTAATTTGTAAATGAGATTTCCTGGCGCTAGAAAATAGGAAAACTGAGATATCGTAGTAATACTCAAGAGACCAGGGGAAAAGAATTACTGTGGTGATGACATAATTCTTGATATCAACGACTGCTACCTGTGGTGGAATAAGGCTGTATTTTAACCTACTGTGAACATTTCTATACTGTGGCATGTGTGGGTAACAAACTGTTCTCATTTCTTTGTACAGGATTCTAAACCTTAATCTCCAAGGGACCCATGACCTTAGGAATACTGAGGCAACTTTGTAGAATTTTTTTTTTAAATCTGCCATGTTGCTATAGCATGTGTGTTATTAGTAATAAGATAAATAATGAAAATTAATGGCTAACACTTACTGTCAGGCACTGTACTACTTAGAACTATCCAAAGTGTCTCATTTAATCCTTTATTTTTAAAAAAGATGGTAAAGCAGAAATATTTTAAAAGATGGTTACATAGAGATAGACACTATTATACAATCTCTATTTTAAAGATGAAGACCTGAGGCTTAAAGAGGTTAATTAACTGGCCCAAGATTCCACAGTTAGCAAGTAGCAGAGCTGGGATTCCATTGCAGGCAGTCTGACCCAGAGTTCGTGTTCATGCACTACACTAAACATTAAAGGATGCCTACCAGGCACACTCAGAAGGGCAAGTGCTTTGAAGTATTTTCTCCAACAGTGCTGACAAGCTATTGTGAACCATCCACATTCTCCAATGAAGTCATTTTTATATAGGAAAAGTTTTCTATTGGGCTAACTTTATACATTCAATCCCTCAATTTAAACAATGACAACTAGTGAGAGACTGCAGAAAGGTGTGGCTGTTTTCATCAAGTTCACCTGCAAAATTAGCAAGGCAACTTACTAAGAGGACCAAGGAAGCTATCTCCAAGGAAGCTGAAATAGGTGGTACTGAAGTCTATGACGAAAGAAGAGTGTTCTCTGTTGGCCTAATAAAGGAAATAAACCCACATTCACCATGCCAACACAAGATCCACACTGATAAAAGTAAGACCACCCAGGAGGCTACTTATTTTACAAAGTCTCTTTTTTTGAGACAGGATCTAGCTTTGTCACCCAGGCTGGAGTGCAGTGGTGTGATCACCGCTCACTGCAACATCAACCTCCTGGTCTAAGCAATCTTCCCACTTCAGCATCCCCAGTAGCTGGAATTACAGGCATGCACCTCCATGCCCAGCTAATTATTTTTTTTATTATTAAGAGACAAGGTCTCACTGTGTTGCCCAGGCTGGTCTCCAACTCCTGAGCTCAAGAGATCCTCCCACCTCAGCCTCCACAAGTGCTGGGATTACAGGTGTGAACCACTACACTCTGTCAACAAAGTCTTAAAAGTCTAAACTAAGGTGGTGGTGGTTGGAACAGAAGGGAAGGGATGGAGAAAAGACTCCTGAAGATGCAGCCCTTCCTCCATAAAGCCTTTCCCAACTTCCCCGCGGCAGAGCTGCTTGTGCCTTTGTGCCACCACATCTTCTTCACGGCTCCATAACAGCACTGACACTCTACCTGGATTTCAAATCTGGGGTATAGCCCCATTAGACGGCAAGCTCCAAGAAAGCAAAAACTGTGAGTTGATCATTTTCATATCCTAACACCTTCTTTATTCCTGACAGAGAAGCAGGCTCTGTGTTCATGAGCTTGTACAATCCATGAAGAAAAGACCCACGGCTGGGCACAGTGCCTCACACCTGTAATCCCAGCATTGCGGGAGGCCAAGGCAGGCAGATCACCTGACGTTGAGAGGCTGAGACCAACCTGACCAACATAGAGAAACCCTGTCTCTATGAAAAATACAAAATTACCCAGGCATGGTGCTGCATGCCTGTAATCCCAACTACTTGGGAGGCTGAGGCAGGAGAATTGTTTGAACCCGGGAGGCGGAGGCTGCAGTGAGCCAAGATCGTGCCACTGCACTCCAGCCCGGGCAGCAAAAGCGAAACTCCATCTCAAAAAAAAAGAAAAGAACCTTGTCTTTCATCTTTGAGCCCTTTTATCTTTGAGAAACAGCTCCAAGGCTCCTTTCAAGTCTGCTGAACGTCAACACCCCCGACTAAAATGCAAAGTTGGCCATGAGGATAGGCAGGGGAGGAAGCAGAGAATTACGTGATATCTGAACATCTGGCCAGAATGTTCAGTAGACACATGAAACATTAATCAGGGATAGTGAACTTAGAGCTGTCTGCAAAAAGGTGCTGAAAGGAGAAGAACGAATGAGTTCTTCTAAAATGATGAAGAAGATTCTAGTGAAGAGTCAAGAATAATGAGGCCCAAGAAAATCTCTGGCAAAAGATAGCACTGACAGCTTCAAGAATGTAGGTTTTGGACATTCTACAAAATAACCGACCAGTACTCTTCAAAAATGAAAGACAAGGGAAGACTAAGGAAATATGACAAACGTTACGTGGGATCCTGGACAGCAACCTGAAACGGAAAAAGGACCAGTAGTGAAAACTCTGATGGCATCTAAATTAAGTATGCAGTTACTAGTATTACATGAATATTGATTTCCTAGTTTTGATCTTTATATAATGGTTATATGTTAACTTTAGGGGAAGCTGGATGAGGAATATATGGAAAGTACTATTCTTATAATTTTCTCTAAGTTTAAAATTAATTCAATATAAAAAGTTAAAAAGCAAATAACACAGGTTTTGTAGCACAGGTGGCAAGACATAATAATAAGAGAAAAATGATTAAGGAACTGAAGTATCAGGTGTGAACACAATTTTCTTGAAGTCCGACATGAAAGCACGGAGATGCAGGCCAACAAGCTAGATGCAGTAGAGCAAGGGCTTTCCAGCAAGGGAAACAACCAAGGCATATTGGAAGGCATGTCCCAGTTCATTCAATCATTAACAACCACGTATTAGACATTAACTACAGCTGAGATGCTCTGCTGGGCACTGGTCCTCGCCTCTAAGTCTACAGTTTAGTAAAGAATGTGTGTAAGGAGGCATGTAAATATAATGTGTTTCGTAAGCGTGAGAGGAATGGGCCAGAAGAAAGAGAAGATGAGAAGAATGCAAAGAGAGGAAGTGAACTTGAAAAAAATCACTCAGGAGATGAAAGAGAAAAACAGTCTGAAATGTTATCAATGCGAATAGTTCTGTATCTGTTCTGGTCCTCCTTATCTGTTATAGTCTCACTGCTAACAAAAAGTAACTTCAAAATGTACTAAACGGACATGAAAAAGAGCCTATATAAAATGGCTTCATGATTCGAATCATATTCTTAGGGCTACAGGGAAGAGGCCTTCACAGAATGGATGTATTTGACCACCGGTGTTCAGATTTTTGTAATGTTTCTTATACACACAGCAACAACAACAACAAAAACCCACAAAACAGAAAAGCTCAATTACAAAATTACAACTACTACCTTATGAAGCACATAATACAAATGATAAACTCACACAGGAAAATATAATGCTTATTAAAGCAACCTTGAACTAGTCTTTTATATACCTACTAGGTTCGTGGAAAAAAATAAAGTATGACAACTAGTACTATCAAGATTGTAATAAAACTGGGGCCAGGCATGGTGGCTCACACTTGTAATCCCAACACTTTGGGAGACTGAGGCAAGAGAATAACCTGAGTCCAAGAGTTCAAGACCAGCCTGGACAACACAGGGAGACCCTGGTTCTATTTTAAAAAAGAAAGAAAAAAAAAAGATTGTAATAAAATTGGAATACACACATACTGTTAGCACTGTGAGCTGATCAAGGATTCATTTCATGTGAGTACTAGGTAGTGTCACACATCTATAGCTGAGATAACCCCCATCCTCTCCAGCCACTCCTTACTTTTTACCCATTGCTGCGTTTACCCAATGCTCTGAACATTTAAGTCCCCTGCTTTTGCTCTTAATAATCCCAGTCAAGAACCACTGTCCCAGGGTCCTTTACCACCCACAGAATTCCTACCCATTCATCAAGGCTAGGATTCCAGTGTTATCTTCCTTTTCTTCAATGACCAAACCACATCCATCCCCATCAATAATACATCCCCTTTCCATACCTAATCGTTCCTTCCACTGTGCTCCCATAATACTTTTATTCATACGGTTAGTTGTTTAAATGTCTGTCTCACTCCTTACATTATGAATTCTTCTTTAAGGTCCATGCTCCATGTCATAATAATTTTAGTACCTGTAATACTTAGCATAGGAGATCGCACATGGTAATTACTAATGACACATGGGAAGGAAAAAAATGCTACATGAACAAAGAGCTTCACTACAATGTTATCTCCAAGAGCAAAAACCTGAAAATCACCTAAATATCCAATTATGAAAGAACAATTTAGGAAAAATGGTCTATCACTCAAGCAAAAAGTAGGCAAATACTAAAAATAACATGAAGGCTATGTAGCAACACAGAAAATACTCCTGACAATGTTAAATTAAAAACATAGAATATAAAATAGTATATATGCAATAGTTCCAGCCCCGCAAAATACATAAGGACTGTGGAAAGAGAAAAACACTGACTGAATGAGGGTGATACAGTTTTCCTCTTCTCAAGTATTTCCTTTAACACTGTTTCTATCACTTTATTATCATTTAAATTTTTATTTCAAAAGAAAAAAATAAGAGGAGGAAAGGAGCAAGTTTAGGTATTTCTGCAAGCCCCTGCAATCCAAGAGATATGCTAAGATATTACTGACAGATGGCAAGAGGAGTGGGTGTCCGCAGTATCACCAAAACCAAGGGTCCCTGACCCCAATTTGCCTCAAAAAGAATACCTCTCATGTCACAAGCTGCACTAAATGTGAATTCTTCATTGAAAAACTTTGGAGGCAAGAACTTTTTCCACACATCTGTAGAATCAGAATTAATGAGAGTGCCCTGGAGTTCATACACGCACCTATGCCACCAGAAACTTCTCAGCCAAGGCACTGCTGGGCACACTTCTTGATGAGATGTCTAAGCCTGAAGGCATCACAAAAGTACATTTCCATATTGGGAACATAACGGGTTTCCTCTTGAAGACTTTTTCCACCACCTCCTGCCCATATTGTAATTCTCCTGTCTTCTCAAGTGAATAGTTAACATATGTCAAGGATAGATGGCACACACTGAGGCACTCAGTGTCTATCTCTATTACTTGTAGAAGAACCAATCTCAGCAGAAAATTGGAATCTTCCCACCAAGTTGCCCAACGTGCCCTCTGAGGTAGGCAGCAAGTACCCCAAAAAATGTTAAATACTTTTAATAATCATTTCTGGACACTACATGATATTTTTCCTGGTTTAGTTTCTAAATTTTAGAAACGGCATACATCTTAGTTTCTGAATTTTGGAAATGAAAAGAACCAGAAGTCATATCGACCAGTTTCCTCATTTTACAAGTGACTGGAAAAAAAAAAAAAAAATGTATAGAGTGGGAAAGTGACTTGTCCTGAGTCACCCAGATAAGTAATGATAAAAGTGGGATTAAAACCCAAATCTCCCAGATTCTCGGCCCCACTCAGTCTACCACATGAAGCGTTTTTTATCCCTTGAAACCTCTGGAGCCCCTGGTCTAAATAATTAGTACCACAGAATTTTTAAGCTAGAAGGGGCCTCAGAGAGAGCCGTTACTTAATCCCTTCATTAGGCATATGAGGAAACTGAGGCCCAGAAAGATTAAGTGATACGCTCTCAATATGTTGAATGGCAGGGAAAAAATACAACTTAAGCTCCCAAATCTGCAAACCAAGGCCCACAAGAGGGGAGGAGAATGTCTTGGCTGGGGGAAATTTTTAAAGGAAGGTAGATCATTTTAGACCAGGGAATCACAGAGCTCAGCATCAGCATCACCTGCGATCCAGTTAGAAACGCCGAATCTAAAGTCCCACAGGAGACTGAATCAAACACTAGGGATGGGGATGCTCAATTTTGTTTCCTTACGTCCCCAAGAAGCAAACTTCAGTGGTCATACTAAGTCTACTCTGTAAACGATAACTATAAACAAAGGCTCATAAGATGTATGCATTCCTCTACATGGGACTATACCTCAATTTTTAAAATGTTCAAATCTGAAAACAAAATGGAAAACTACATCTGGTTGTTCAGTAGGTTTCACTTCAGTTCTGGCCCTGCTCCTTACTGACTGTCTGGCTTTTGGTAGGCAGCTT